CGACTCGCGGATCGTGTCGAATCGTTTTTTCCGATTTTTTTCCCACGTCTCGGCAGCTCGCCGTTGTTCGTGCCACCTGGTACCGTTACTATTGCCCGTCCTATCAGGATTTTCGTGTTCCCTTGATCGAGCAGCGTTACCTTCTATTTTACACACGTTTTATCTTTTTCCTTGCGCGCCGTTCGACACTTTCGCGACAACGTGAATCGATTTTTAATTCGTATATACCGTGAATTCTATCGTCTGCGATAGCTGCACGAACAATAGCTATTGGATAAACGGTATTGCTCGGTTTTCGTTTCGATGCGAAACGCGTACGAATTAGAAAGCAAGTTAAAAATTAAACGTGACGTTCCGCTATCCTCGATCAAGTCTTAGATCAAACCGAAAGCAACTTTCTGACAACGGTAACCGTAACCATTAACGTACCTGAAATAACGTAATTTATCGTTCCAGACAGTTTTATCTGGTCCATGGTATCGGGAATGAATAGCCCGCCGGTAAATTTATCGAGGAAACCATGAATCGGCTGAATGCGTATATCATCAATTCGATAAGGAGCGTATCGCTTGGGAATCCTCCATAGGCGATCTCTTTCGAGTTTTCCGATTGTCGCGTGCGTTTCGCAATCTTCCAACCTGACTTGTAAGATATTCGCGGTCGCGACTAGGTTTTCTCCGTAGAGCATCGGATGCGAAGTTCCGAGAAGTACCGCGATAGATAAAAATAGATAAAAGCGACGGCATCGGTGGCCCGTTGGCGTTCTGGGAACGCTTTCGTCAATCAGGGTCACGAGTGCACCGATGCGCCTCGTTATGTCTAAAAGCAGTTTCGTGTAACTCCGAGGAAACGAAGGTTTCGTTCAACGAATGAACGGCAACCGTACTGACCTAAACACGTTCTAGATGACAATGCTTTGATGGAAACGCATTAACCAACCGAATTATCGCGTCGGTTACGTGGTTTCCGTATTGTTCTTTGCTATCTCTACCTTGGTACAATGTTACCGAAGTTAAGGGTATTTCCCATTTGCAATCGATAGGTATATATTTAATCATTTCTGTCCCAAGCAGCGTGTCGCATATTTAATTCGTCGAAATAAGAAAGCTGAACTATCATTTATAACGAAGAGGAGAGTTCGTAGGTCGCTTGCAAAAGCCTCAATAACCGTCTCTCTTTCTCGCGTATACGTCGATCGAACGAGCTCGACTATCTTTCGTAACGATGAGGTGAAAAGAAAAGACAGGGTGGTCGCGTTGCGTTGGTGGAAAGATAACAGAGCGCGAGTGTGAAAGAAAACAGTGTGCAATCAACGGTATGCATATACGACACTTTTCGCATAAAGTTGCAAAATCGTGCTGCGCGCAAGCAAAAGCAAAAACTAAGCGACTTTTTTTCAATGCTTCGATAGCAGTTTGCTTTGTCGTGAACGTGCACGACTTATTTCTTAATCCACAATCGAGGGAACCAATGTTGAAACCAGGCTTTGCTAAGGACGCGCCCTATATTTTTGTATGTACGTACAAGTACGTTGTAAAAATATACGTTTATCTGCAAATACGGTTCGTTCTGATATAAACAAGATGGTCAATCGTCGAACAGTCTTTTCGAAAAAAAAGATTGTAGTTAAAAAGCAGAAGAAAATACAGAACACTCGTCGAGTAAGATGAGCATGAGCGTAAAGAGGTTAGGTCGAAGAAGTCTGGGAAAGTAGAGCACAGGGAAATTGGAGGAAATGCAGTGAGAGGGAGAAAATGGGAGAAAAAAAATTGCGGGAAGAAGGGCTGGGACGACGACAAAGTGGAATGAAAGCGAGCGCGAGGGAGGCGGAAGTCGAAGGGTGAAGGAAGGGGGAGAGGAAAAACGCGGGCGTAAAGAAAAGGAAAGGAAACGAAGGGAAACAGAAAGAAACGCATGGCACGAGAAGGGTAGCTGGTTTCGACTTTGTAGTAGGCCTCGATCGATGCTGTTACCATGGTTACAGGGCAGTACCGCGGTGCTCTACTACTGATTATTTATGTCAAGGATCCCTCCCTGCTTCGAAGCTCGGAGCGCAAACTGAAACGCGAATCACCCTAACCGGAGTGGCGATGGTCTTTCGAGTCTCCCTCTCGCAAGATTTCCAACAATTTTTTCACACCGAGTTTACACGTTGCGAACGTTACTCAATTTTCATCCTAGAAACCCGAATTCGCTTTGTCGAATCAATCTTATTTTCAATTTCGTCTTCGAAAATTTCCTACCGACGAATCAGGCGAACGATAAAGTCTCGTACTTAAAAATTCCAAATTGAATCGAGTACGATGTTATCGAAAACGTAGAATGATTCGCTTAGTGATACTACGACTAAATTAAATGCGAATTCTTATACTATTTACACAATTTTTTAACGTTGCTAACTTTGTGATCTATGTATGTAACTACATATGTATACATGTAGATAGAAAAATGTCTCGCGAAATCTAGCTCGAGAAGCAGAACGGGGTTTCTTCGAGCGATTCAACAGCCACGGGAAACCAATAAAAGTTAATGACTCGATTTAAGTGGTTTCACAGAACTTTTCCTTTCTTTCGTTTTTTTCTTACAATGAAAGAGCTTTAAGAAAGACGTGACTAAAACGGACATATGTATTTTATATGGTCTCTAAGATCGGTGTCTATCAGTTATCGAGCAATTTGTTTCTTTTACGAAATCCCTAAGTTTCCTAAACTTTTGGTAAATCAATTTTCAGTGCTTTAATCGTCCAGATAAATAAAAGTATACGAATTTGTACGTCGTAACCCAAGAGATAGGTTATGTCTATTCAGCCATAATTTAAAAGAACTTTAACGTTACAAAAAGTAAAAAAGATAACATAAAGGAATAGGGGTTCTTGTAAGAAATGAGATAATAAGATTATCGGATTAGAGGATCATAAGCCACCGGTAAATTTTTTAATGAATCGTCTTAAATGCGTTGAAGCGAAGATTAGTTGGCATTTAAATGATAGTTATTATTAATGGCAAGTGACGACTGGAGATGGAGCTTCGGTGCTCTTTTTAGAGCGAGCAGGACGGAGTAGAATACGCAGAGGGAAGTATTACCGTTGGGAAGGATGCTTTCGACCCAGTTTCACCCTTCCATGGTGGTGGAACCGTCATGAGCAATCGATACTGCGTCAAGAGCCACGACGTCGTGCTCTATCATTATGAGAGATATTGCTCTACCTTGCGCAGAAACGACAATTAAACGCGAGTAAAATGATGTCATCTTTCTCTTTTAACTTCTCTCTGCTCCTTTTTCGACAAGTTCTTTTTCTAACTCCGCGGCTGCCAATATAACCTAATTTTTAGATTGTAATATTCGACTATTAGTTTAAAAAAATAATTTAACTCTAAAATACTGCCTCTTTCTCTTGCGCTCTCTCTTTTCCTTGCCAAGGTGATATACAGTTTATTAAAGTTAATTATTCGTTACAATCAGTAATATACTCGTTACCTATAACAGGCATCTTCGCCATTTACCGTATAGTTTCTTGAAAGTCGGATAATTTATAATTTTAGCGTGTTAATAAACGTATGATTGGAGAATAATGTAAAAATTTTGTTACTGCTACTTTGAATATGCCGTATCTTTACATGAAGATGATTATTTGGTACATTATATACGTACATTCACAATGTACCTTTTACGTATTCGTCACGGAGTGTTTATAATGTACCACCATTTGCATTCACTTGAATGCAAAATAACCATATTTTTAAGAATTATGATAAAACCGTCAAAATAGTGCGTCATGAGTTACGATATAAAGACGAATCCGAAAACAATTTGTTACAAAAAATAATAAAGAAATCAATTTTCTTATGAGTTTGCAATCGTTCTAAATTAAATACGTAATTATATAATCAATGGTATGTAAGTGTACGTGTAGTCGTACAATTTCAAAGTGATAGTTAAATTATTTCAACTATGAATTCAATAATGAGATAATTTAATAATTTATTGACTTTGGTAAATTTATTTCAATGTTCTTCAAATGTTGAATTAATGTAAATCTACACAAATATGTTACTACCGTCTATAGAAATGAAAGTTTGATACTTGAATTTTACGTTTCACTCTACAGCTGCTAGTTCTTGTGCGATGTATTTGTTCGAGCTACATCCGGAATAGTAATTAAGAAACAGAGATTTTTAATGGTTACTTTTACATCTGTATGTTCGATGTAAATTGTGCGTAATGGGGACAATTATTCATTATCGAGAATGTGCAATGTTGATAATACACATAGTGGGCGGATGAGGTCATACATACAATAAATTCAACGAGACGTTACAAGCTGTTCTTCCTACTTATCTTAACTTCTCGAGTTTTAAACAAAATTTATTTCAACTTAAAAATGCACCTTCTTTCTCGTTTTATTATAAATTGCATAGAATAATCATGTTTTGAATAAAGATAAGAAATTCAAGCAAGTTCTTCGTTCAAGCATTACCTGTATTTTTCTATGTGAAACTGGTATATCAAAAGACTGAGTAAAGAATTTCACAAAGAAAAAATCAATCTTACTAATCGCATATTCATCAGAACACACTCACAACGTAACAGCCACTTTCCTTCGAATTATATTTTTAATCATTTTTTGTTTATTCTATAGGCGTACATCTCAAAGTTTGCTACAGTCAACGTCTTTCGCTACCTCACACATTTCTTTAATCTTAACTTACGCACTATCAAACTAAAGCAATAACTAACAATTATCTTTTTAATATTTACACGTCTATCTCATTAACCAATTGTATATAATACAACTTGCACTCTTTGCTATCAGCGATTTCTAGCAATAACAGATTGGTGTAAGTAATCCGCTCCTGAACCTTTTTTTTTTTGTGTTTCAATCTTCTTTTACGAGCCAATCGTATTCGAAGTAAACGACGAATATTACTACAATAGCATAAAAAATAATCAAGGGAACATCTTCATATCCTCTTAACATTGTCAACAATCCACGCGTCAGAAACCTTCCAAATCAAGGAAATCGAATAAAAATACTAATACCAACTGCATATTTCACGTTAATAATACAAACGTTCATCAGTATACATACAATTGTGTACTTTATACAATGAAAAAAAAAAAGAAATTAGTCTTGTACATAATCCCACTCCAATTCAGGCTACATACGATATTACCACAAAGATGAACGAAAGATATAAACACTTGACTATGAGAATTGTATTATATATATAAATAAGGTGAAAGATACGATGGCATAACATAATTATTTTTTATGACTCGTATGATACAATCCACAATTTTTTTCTTTCTCTGGGACATCAAATGTTTAATTGAACGTACGCGCATAACGTTATCCTGTGTAATCTAAGCTCGATGATTTATCATACAAAACAGTAAATACCAGAATAAACGGAATTTATATGAAAATTATATTTTTGTGAAATAGATTATCGACCATCTATTTCAAATGCTACGTTTTCGAAAAAGGGGGGAGAGAAAAACAGATGTGGAATTGAGGTTGTATAGATAAAAACATTCGAGAACTATTCTTAAGATGCAGTTGCTAGTAATTTTTGCATCTCAGTTTTGTCTACTGCTGACACATGATCAGGTTTTTCGCCTCTCGCGAAACGTTCCCACATCTTTTTGTACAGCATTTCCATGCCTACTGCATATAGCTTGCAATTGAATAAAGGACTTTCAGATCTTGCTTTCCATACTTTGGCTCGCGTTGCTTTCAAACTTAAAAAGAAACAGTTGGTTAATTCACGTCGAAACTAATGATAATAAAAACTAAAAACAAGGGATAGAAGAAAACGATTTACTTACTATTCCCTGTCAGTACCCAAACGAATAGCAATATCCTGGTATTCTTGTCGTGTTCGTGCAATCAATTCAGGGCATCCCAAAGTATTCAACTGACTAGCAGCAACGCGAGACGCTAACGTTTCACCTGGTAGTGTAACCACCGGAGTTCCGGTCCATAAAACATCCATGCTAGTAGTGTGACCATTGCAAAGCGGTGTGTCCAAGCATACGTCGGCTAACTGCCCTCGTCTAACGTGCTCTTCCTTCGCAGCAACATTACTAAACAGGATCCTACCGGGAGCTAAGCCTAACTGTTGAGCTGTTGCTTGTAAGTTTGGTTCACCAACGGCCGGAAAGCGTAGCAGCCACAATACAGAGTTTGGCACATGTTTTAGGATCTGAAATTTAGTATCGGTTTATAAATATAAAATACGTAATAATTTTAATAAAATAAGTTCGTTACGAAAAAACGAATGAACTTACATGTGCCCACATATGAAGCGTGAGCGGATCAATTTTATACAACTGATTGAAATTGCAATAAACGACTGCATCTTCTGGTAGACCATACTGTTGCCTCGTTGTGATCATAATATTTTGAGGCACTTCTTCACCCGTAGCTGTTTTATTGTTCACTTGCGTAGTGGCCATACCATTCTGAACTACAACACCATTTACGGACATTTGGCATTGTCCAGAAGCAATCATCGTTTCGATAGGAGTAGTGGTTGGTAATTCTGCAACTTTCAGCGAAATTTCTACTGGTTTGTTTTCAGCGTCCGGTACAACTACTTCGCGAATTTCTTTGACACATGTATTTTCAATCATTGGAGAAAGATCGGTGGCATTTATTACAGCTACGTTATCTGCTACCTTGCCCTTCATATTCAATTTGTCCGTTAAGATGAGACGTTCCTTTAAATGTGGGAACATTTGCCTGGAGAAGAAAATATATAAGATAGAAAAAAATGTTAATTAAATTTCATGTATAGTACGTATTTTCTCCATAATTGATCGAAAGTCGGGATTACTCGGCTGTCCTCAGATGAATTTTCATGTATAGGAGTTAATTGAATGTAACAAATACGATCCTCCGTTCTACCCAACTTATAAAAAATGGGCGAATGAAAAAGGAAGAAGACCGCGAGTGGACTTGATAAAAGAAAAACATGTTGGTTAGACAATCGTAACGTAGCAATAACAACGGACCTTTTTTATTTTCAATCCTTATTGAATAAAGCTTTAACCAATGTAATTGTGAGGCTTCCCTGATTAAAACAAAACTAAGCACGAAATAATTTGAAATATATTTACTTATTTAGTGATATTAACTTATTTTCTTTCTATTATATATACATGTAAATATGATTTGAACTATATCGTGTTTGGTCTTATTTTAATCAGAAAACTCTCACAAATACGTTAGTAAAATTTTAATTAAAAACAAATTAGAGATAAGAACGTTTCATCATTGAATAATTAGTATTGTTTTATAGAACTGGAATTGAATTCGATTAAGTTACATTACTCAGCTGTCGAACTCCGCGGTATGTCAAAGGGAACACTATAGTTTCTTGGGGAGAATTCACTCAATAGTAGGGATGACGACTGATCAATTATGACAAACATAGTGGCAATCAATTATAGAGAAAATACTATATGCAATCGCATATCTTGTAGACTTACTTATGATCTCCAATAAAATACGTGTGTGGCATGTAAGCAAGTTTTTCGCTGTATTGATTAGCAAGTTCCAATGGTGATGTAACTTCATCCGTAATTAAATAATCCATGAAACTAGCTCCTGATGTTCCTGGATATCCAAGCCACATCACCTGAACAGGTGCTGGTCTCAGAGCGAATATTTCATTTCTCGCTCCTTTCGTGTATCCATTCATATTTACTAAAATATGAATTCCATCCGCGTTAATACGATCAGCTGCTTTTCCATTGCACGGAATCTGTGATAGATCTACGAAGTGTTCAGCTTCTCTGGCAATCTTTGCTCGGAACGTGGTTCCGTCATCCGCACTGAGGGCGTAGCAAAAGATTTCAACATTCTGTCTCTCGTGCAGTCCTGGGATTGATTGCATAAGATGACTAGTAGGATGATTTCCAAAATCTGACGAGACATATCCAATCTTTAAGCGAGCACCGATCTCACGTGGATACTTGTATGGTTGTTTATGTAACACATGAATCTGTAACAGATATAAAACCGTCGTGAAACAAACGTATTTGCATTTTTATTGCTTCAGATAAACCGTGTACTTAAAAAATATCATTTACCTTCTCGATGCAAAGATTTGCATGCCTAGCAGCAATAGCCTTTCTAAATTCATGAGACAACGGATAGAGCATGGAATGGTGTGGGTGTACGCTAGGCAACCTATTCTTATCCAGTTGCTCAGCAACAATCGAAACTAATTTCTTCATTCGAGCTTCATAATCAGTCCAGTCGCAAACGATCTGAAGGCAATGCGCTAAGTTACAATATGCATCAGGGAAGTCGGGCTTCAGCTTTAACGCAGTTCGGTATGATTGAATAGCCTCAGGAATGTTTCCAGAATCCTTATGAATCGAAGCTAAATTGGAATGGGCGTCAGCGAAAGCGGGGTTAATTTGAATAGCTCTTGTATAGCATTGAAGAGCTCCCTGTATATCTTGCATTTCTTTCAAAGTATTGCCCATGTTCGAGTACGCATCCGCGAAAGTTGGCTGAATACGAATAGCCTCCTTGTAATGCATTAGTGCTTCATTTAATTTTCCTTGTTGCTGTAATACGGAAGCCAGATTGCTATGAGCTGCGGCAAACTCAGGGAATACTTCAAGCGCTTTCAGATATAATCGAGTTGCTTCTTCGATGTATCCTTGTTCGCGTTTTATGTTGGCCTAAAATTCCGAATACATCGAATAACAAAGAGAAGAAACGTAATAATAATAAAAAGTGAAGACAGAAACGCGTTACACGTTATTGTCTTGTTCATTAAACTTTCCCACGGAATTTGAATATAAATATAAGTACCAGATTATTAAGGGAATCGGCATGTGAGGGGCAGAGGCGGAGAGCCGTATTATAGCAATCCTCAGCCTCGACCACTTGTCCCTTTTCTTTGAGCGCGTTCGCCAAATTGCAGTAAGCATCTGGGAAATTTGGTTGTAGTTCAATAGCACGACGGTACGTATCAATGGCCAAATCGATAAGCCTGTAAAACAAAATAAGTTAACGCACGATAAAAAATAAACAAAGTAAATTCCCTCTGATGCTTACCCTTGTTCATAGTAGACACACGCCAGATTTCCATGTACGACTGCATTGTTAGGACTGAGATTCAAAGCACGCAGATAAGCAGCTACAGCTCTGTTACAAACAGAAAATTCGTATGTCGTTAAAATTCATCACACAACGAAAGAAAACATTTAGGTCGTTTTCTGAACGAACGGACGATGAATCACAATTTAATCGATTCCAATTGAATCAATAGTGTCGCATCAAAGTATACGTGGAATTGCGTAGAAAGTTCTTTGTTGGTTTCGGTTTTGGTAACAATGGTCGATGATACCACACCCGACGACACACGGTCTTTGCATAAATTGCACACGTGCCGCGCACACCGCTATACGGTGACGTGTCACGCCGGTAACGCTATACAGAAAATAGTTATAAATTAACCTTTTCACGTTATATTTAATCCACGAGATACATCCACGGGTTGAGGATCGTGAGAGAGCTCGTTCTAATTGAACGCGTAACGAGGGTGCGATCGTGGTCGAGGGCGAGATCACTGTATACACGACAACACACTGGTAGTCCATTCCTTCTCCATTTCCATATCTCAATAAATTAATTTGTCTGCGTGTGTGTGTGTGTGTGTGTATGTGTATGCGTGTATGTATCTTTTAAATATCAATAAACAAAATCAACAACTTCCTCGACAGATAGTAGACACGATACCACGAGCAGCTTTCCGCCGTGAAACTCGCCACGAGCTACGCGTTTTTGGCATATCCGTTAAGAACTTATACACCCTCCCACGGAGAATAAAAGGGGTTCTCTCTCCATCGTAGGGGCGGAGCGATCCTTGAAATCGATAGTTGCCCTCCAGTTTCTCCCGTTATTGTGCGTAACTGGAATTTAGATTCCAAGGATTCCGAACACTCGTAAATAAGAAAATGCAGCTCGTATTCCAGTGGTAATTTCGCATCTGTTGCCAAGCGCAAGCCCCATTCTCTCTCCGTTAAAAAGGCTGTGTGGATACGTACGTATGACAAGAAGGTCGAGATTCTCGGAAGGCGAACAGGACATGAATTCGCGACATGTGTAAATCATCTTTATGCTTGTTTATACATCGATTTTACGTATTATCGTTGTTTCTTTTTCATTAAATTTTTAAATGTAAATATCTTACGGTAAGAACCGATGATATCTCAAATATCGTAATAAATACGGAAAATCCAGAATAAATGGATCGTTTTCAAATTTACACATGCTGCGTGACATTACCAAAATAATAGAAAATAATGAAAGCCGCTAACACACCTAAGAAATTAGGAATTCGCGTAATGCACGAGTGAAGGTTGCCAGCGGGCATCGCTCTGGAGAAACAAAGGACGATGAACTTCAAAGGACGCTGTATGAATATCGATTCGGTGTTTACACGTCGGCTCATGCGCTTTGCTCGCGAATTCTTGGTAAACGTGTTTCAGAAACGGAAAACGTGTGAAACCTTCCGACCTCGTTCGTCTCTTTTCGCGCGGCAAAAGTAAAAATAGAGCACCATTTCGTTCGAGCACGAAACATTTTCGTACCGAAAATACAGCAAAGAACTTTCGTGAAAACAGTCCCATTATATTGGCACAAAAATGTATTGTTTGACTTGTGACTCTCCAATTAACGTAACAGTATTGAACATTAATGGTATAACTGTAAGTCAGATTTTTTTAGCACAGACTTTATAAACCGTCGCCTATGAGAAATTGAAGAGACGACGATCGATCATACTGTGCATTTTAAATTATTGTAGGAGCCGACGAAAAACGAGAAAGAAGGTTTCATGAGAATCGAACCTAGGGCCTCCGGCTGGTAAGCCGGGACTCTATCCCTATCGCTAAGTCGTGTTCTCATGTTTCTCTTTATTATTATACGTCTTACTGTGAAGTTTTGTATTGTCGTATTATAACAACAAAAGAAGATTTTTATATAATTTTTATATAAATCTACTCGCATATCGAATGATATTTATTTTCTTGCTAAACATTGGCCGTTTCACGTACTATCGACCGAGAAGTTAAACGTTTCAATTGCAAGTTTTGAAAATACTAGTATTTTAAAGCAATATCACAAATTATAAAATTATTGTTACTAACGTAGAATTATGAATAAACGTTCTATGTATTGCCAACGGTTGTTGCATTATTTCGCCGTTTAAACCAGTTCAACAAATTGTTGTGAAAATTGTCATATATGTTAATATCCTATTTGAACATGCAAGTATCTACCTTATTTCAAATAAAATGCCAATTCAAACGTTCTAACGAAATGTACGAATATAGAGCCGTTAGAAATCAATGATTTAATCTCACCTATCAAAGATTCTAGCCTCTTTGAGTACATTGCCAAGATTGATGTAGGCGTCCAGAAAATTTGGGTCCAAAGCTACGGCCTTCTCGAAGTGATGGATCGCCAACCAAATCTCGCCTTGAGCGTTGAATACACAGCCAAGATTACTCCATGCGACTGCGAAGTCTGGCCGCGTTTCAATCGCCTTTAGATAGCAAGCCTATAGACATAAACAGAGGATCAGAGAAGATGTTCCCGTACTGTGAGAGACGCGCCGCGCGCTTTGCCCGGCCTCTCCTCGCCGCGCCGCAGCTTTCACACATTTCACCACCTTCGAGAAATTTCAGAGAATAAAATTATCTCTTCATACATTCGTCCTCTCTGTCTTGCTTCGTTATCTCCTTTTTCCTTGTTCTACATCCCTTTACTTCGAACAATTCTTAATGCAAATCATCGGCGCCAAGTATTTTGTTCGTAACAGAGCTGATATAAATACCTTTAAGAATCAATTGTATTCAATTTTACGTGATGAACTTTATCACGTTTATCGATTGCGCGATTATTTCTTTATTACATTCTCAATATTCATTATTAGCGATCGATATTCGATGAAAGAATAGAAAGTTCGTTGGTGATGAAGAAAAATTTGATAAACGCTTGGACATTAGATAATTTTAAGCGATTTTGTATCTTGGTGCATTTAATGACATGTAAAATGCTAACGCGACAGATTTATAGAATTTTGTGTAAGATTTGCTTTAGCTTGGGATATGACTTCTTTCGATGAAAAACGAGAAAGAATCAGAAACAGAGAGAACGAGACCCATTTTGCAAATCATACAATGTGTAGTGGATTGGAATCTAGTGTGAAAACAGGAGAAAAGGATTTAGGTGCGCGCTAGAAACGTCATCGTAGAAAATAAGCGATACGGGTGTCCTGTCTCGTGTCTATCGATTCTCCGGAATGCGTCCGGTGGACTCGACAGCACGTAGTACGCCCCTCGCCATTGTTACTTCAGTTCTGCTCAATTCACTTGGCCAATTCACCTCCAACATTGTCCATTCTCAGTCGACGAGCTTAAACAAACATTGTTCTTCATTACCCATATGTTCCCTTCATCAACATTTACCATCAATTAAATTTATATTATCGTTTATCCCTAGGAAAATATTTGTCGAAAATCTTCTTTATATGACGACGCTCCTAAGGGTCAAGCAGGGATGTGCATCGCGCGTGCCGAGAGGCGGGCTGCATTGTTATAAAAAACAGAGTAATCCGTACCTAAACAATAAGTAAAAAGGGCATTTACAGTCGGCCGATCTCTATGGGAAGCGGTAAAGAGAGGCTGGATGATAGAAACGAATAGGATTCGTAGCATCGGGATAACTGGATATGGATAGAAACGTTGAAGTTGGATGAGCTTTAACAGAGGATTCTCGTTTCAATGGAGAAACAGAAATGAGTCGTTCATAAGATCTTCATCCGTATTTCCGTGCTTCCGTATCTGCAATCGCATACGAACGTCGTAAACACAGATGCTGCTAAACCTTTCTATCCCGAGTTAAAATGATCCAACTTTCAATCTCTTTCGAAACAGCGGAGCCAATTGGTCTGATGGAATGTTCAGAGATCGGCCTTGGGAATTACTTTACCTGCAGTGTACCCTTTGGTAGGTTGACGGTAGGTACGGCTCGCAAGTTCTCATAATAAACTTAGACCGAGAGACAGTGTGTTACTGAATAACCAGATTCAGATTCACCCTTTGACGAAGGAACCCATGGTAACCGACCAATCACATTGCTCCGACTTCCCCTCCTAGAGTTGATCATCCCATCCACAACAACAATACAGCTGCGTTAATGTCTCTTCACTGATACTCTTCGCCTCAACTTTGTCTTTTTAATTTTTTTTATCTTTTTTTTATATTTTCTTTTCTTTTTTAAATACGTATACAGAGGTACCTAGTTATGCGTGCCGCTGAAAGACACGCTTCGCTGAGCTCGTCAGCCACCATATTATAATCGTGCAATTCTTATCCCAGTTCCTCAATATCGATCGTTAACAATTACATTGAAAATAGATTCCCCAATTAACAAGAAGGAAAGAACAAATTAAATCACCTTATATAAAGTACAACAAACGTCTTAATCTCGATCTCGATACATTAACGATGTTTTAAAAAATTATAAAGACCACGAATGAATGTGTACGTCGCTTTTTATAGCTATGAGCAAGAAAGATAAATTTAAAAAACCATTTTCCTGTTAAAATCAACTTTCATTTTATAGTCCCATATACCAGTAGTTCGAACCGATATCATTCTGTAAATGTAACATTATTGGTGGCAAAACGTACTAAGCGAAAAACGAACAAGTGAACTAGAGAGCGCTTAAGAACGACAGGAAATTCAACGGAAGGCTTTTCTCTTTGCTGCAGTAAGTTCTGTCGATGAGTTTGATTGCAGAAAGTACAAAATATTAAATAAAGACACCAATGGGTAATCAATGTAGATAAAGCAAAATTGTCAGCAATTTATACTGTCTGCAATTATTTCTACTCGTCGACTATCGCCGCGCCGCGCTGCTATTATGAAGTAGACCACTTGACTTGTTTATTTTTCTATGTATCATTGGAACAAATGAAACTTGTGGGAGTCGGAAAAGTCCCGTGAGTTTCCAAATTAAAAAATATTTTGATGCACAAATGGCTTACATAGATTCATACAAAATTATCAATTTTTTATATTAGACATTACGATAGGTGTAGAATTGGTCAAGTGATCTCGCGCAATTATCATTGTACACACAACTTGTTTACTTTTAAAATTGGAAAGAGTAGAGATAGTGGAAAAGAAAGGTCGCATTTGTCCACGTATATGTAACGGATCAGTATACCTAAAGTAAATACACATTCAGAATGAGCTGAATCAAATGAGATGAGCTTAAATGCTACATTCGCGCGCTGCTGATCCTATTGTAGCTTGTAAGAAAAAAATTAATATCTTTTACTTAATCAATAATAAAAAAAGATACTGCTGTAATAGGATCGGCAAGTTAAACTTTGCAATAACACCAAGTAAAGAAATTTTGTTGTTACTCTTATCAGTGTTATTCCAAAACGCGCAATGCGAAGAGGGATTCTATATAGTTTTCAGCTAATTTTAAACTTAAACCCTCATGCTGCGTTTGATGTCTTGAAAAGAACATTATTTTGCTCCGAGTATCTTTGTTGATTCTCAATAAAAAGGCAAATAAAAACAAAGACACCAAACGCAGTGATTAGTTAATTAAATGGAAAAACACGCACAATGGGCAATCTACTACCAAAACTTAAATTTTCTGTTCATGCCTTTTTAAAAGCTAATTCTGATAGTAGGCCACCATGCGTCGCGCACATATCTTTTTTCACCACAAAGAGAAAGAGCTTTTCGCCTCTAGTATATGGATACCAGTTGTTCCTGGTTGTTCTATAGAGCTGCCAACTAGTACTTGCGCACATTTTACGCAATGCATCTGTACCTTGTCAAAAAAAATTGTCAAAATGAGACTGCAAAAGTCGATATCCTAGTATTTGATTGTGGTATTGATGCATCCGAATATGTGCATGTCACGTTAAATTAAATTAATTTACAACAATGTGTAGCAGATAAAGAAAACCTACCTTGGCTTCATCAAGTCTTGCTAATGCTTTCAAAAGATTACCGAGATCGCTTCTCACACAGTAAAGATCCTGTAACATATAAAAACGTAAAATCTATATTGAATAATCCTATAAACAAGCAGTAAACAAGCAATCTTTAGAAAATAAGTCAAAACTATATTTAACATAATGTAGTAGCGTTTAAACTATATGTAAAGGACTAGAAAGAAATATGTATTAATAACAGAGTGGATTTCTCACAGGGTTATATTGTAGAGCAGTTACATATGCTTGAACTGCTTGTTCCATATCTCCTGCAGCTACTAATGCAGCTGCTAGATTGATGTAACCATCAATGAAATCTGGTTTCAATCTAACAGCATGTCGATAATTTTCCAAAGCTTCCTGTAGTTGGCCACGTTCCTTGTAAACATTTCCAAGATTGCTGTAAGCCTCTGCCAATAACGGATTCTGCTTTATTGCTAAGCTACTGTAATGTGCAGATCTGAAATGCAAGAACAGAAATTTATTAGTACTGTATTTTATTTAAAAGTTACATAATAAGTGGAACAGGTCGCTTACTTTTCTAGCCTTCTACATTGAAAATGAATAGAAGACAATAATAGAAGAACTCCTGTGTTATTTGTTTCCTGCCTCCAGAGTTGCATACAATGTCTTTCCGCATTCTCATAATCTCCTGCCTGATATTCTCTATGAGCAAGTTCCAATAGCCCTGAAAAACATTAACTTATGGATATCTAAGTAATCTTAAAAATTATATAAAAATAAAATTTGTCAATATTCACGTAAATATAAAATGCAATAATGTGTAAAATAATACTTTTTACAGAATAAAATATTTATCAATTTTTCATGTAAATTTAGTTATTTTTGCACATATTTAAATATATATATATATATGTATGTATATATTGAACTACAAGTGCTGCTAGTATATCACTACACCAATAAGAAATATGCATATTGTAGATGATTTACATGGAATATTCCTGTTTGAAAAACGTCTGGGTACTTAGTACGATCTATTGTATATAAATAAAAATATAATTTAAGTGTTTTTATGACGCTATCTTAATTTCAAAGTGCTTATTTCATATTATAAACTTCACAAAAGTTTACATAAATAAAATATACCTATACACGCGTGCAGAATAAAATATATCAATTTGTTTAGCCGATTTTTTGGAAACTTAAAATAGCATGAGAAAAGAAAGTAGAAATTAAAAAATACGAACAATAGGAGTCAACTGCAACGTTAATGGTTTGATTATCAGTAATTGCAATTAGCTCTTTGCCTTGCGTATCTTGTGTAACAACTAGAAGATTCTGTCCATTTTGCCACTCGACGGTTCCATTACAAACGTCATCCGAACTATTGACCACGTTTCCAATTATGCCGGTTGAATTTTTTATTACGTTTTCTTTCTTCTCTGCCAGTTTTATACTCATTTTGTCCACGAAATTGTTCCAAACGCGTTATTCTCTTCTTCCCAATTCCGATACGCACACTGTTTTCACACAATCACCTCTGATACAAATTCGAGACTTTTCTACGTTTCAATATTGGTAACTCAATTTTTTTCTTCGGTAGTATCTAGCTAATTCTAAATTAATTTTATCCTTCAGATTCACTTTCTTTGTGTGTACTATTCCTTCGTTATTTCAAGCCACGCAACGGTACCTATTATTTCCTCGTTTCTGTACACACCGTGGCCTCTGTGTTTCTATACAAGTTACGCTTTGGCCAGGTTATCCCCGGTCTCTGATAGACCAAGAAGCAACCTGATTGGTCAACTCGATGACTATGGCGGACTCCTGCATCGCTGGGTAAAATCAAGAGATGGGGGTAAGGAAGACACCCGGCTCAACACCGTAGATATTATGCTCGGTGCCCCATGATTTTCACCTTCTACATTTTGTCTCTTGCGTTTGATAATTTTGCTTTTTTATCATTGCTGATATAACTAATAGACGTTTATAGAGTTAATGTTAAGTTATTTTTAGTAACAAAAAGGTAAACTATCTGATCTAACAAATAAATCTATGTTATCGTTGTTTTGCTAATTTTATCCTTGTTACAATCTTTCTATTAATGAAAAAATGTATCGAATATATATGAAAGTATGGTTACATATAATATACAAAATCTAATAAAAAAAAACATGTAATACGTTCCAACTTATAACATTTTACTTATCAATAATAACAATTAATAATCAGAAAATCAACGCAAAATCTAATAAAGAGCAGAAAATTTGTATTTTCAATTTATGAACGAAACCAAACATCTTCTTCACATGCAATCAACTTTTACTAAAAATTAATTTCAAAGTGAAAATTATTTTTATAATGACATGGAAGCCGAATTTTTATAATGACATAGCCGAATATAAAAACTAAATTATAACGAATATAAAAAAAAAAATTCGGTAACTCCTAAGGCGCATGTACATAGTACGTGGCTGGGGGCACACAAAGAAATTACAATAGTGGTTCTCAATCTGCATAAATAAAACTGACTTTTGAAATCGGTTGCCTATTTTTAATATCAAAATTTACATCTCAAAGGTCGAAGTAACTTTTGTAGTATTGCAATATTGATTCTTGAAATTTCATACAGAAAATTCAACAAAAAGTATAACATATGTTTGTTAAAGTCGAAGTTATTATCACCTAATTTAAGATTTAAAATAATATTGATTCTAGAGAGAGAAATAAAATAGAGATATCATGAAATTTTGATATATGAATTGATACAGCAACCAAACGTTTAATTGCAAAATTATTGCACTAACTAGCAAAAAAGAACCACTGGCGCTATGCGAAGGGACGGTCATCCCCACTCTTTCGAACGGAAAGCAGATGGTATAGGTACCGATACTGAGTGGAATATTCCACCGTCACTTTGATGAAGCGGAAACAGCGACTGAAGAGTAAGAGGGAAGAGTAGGAAGCTTAAGAAAGAATAAGCTTCTAAACGGGAGAAAACCATACACAACAACGACAAAATAATAATGCTTCGATTCGTAAAGAAAGTAAAATGAATTCTAAAATTACCGAATAATGTTAAAGACAGCAATAATATATACATACATATATCATAATAAATTTCTGATAGATTTGTAGAAAAGGAGAATATATACCTGCCATAGATTTATTAGGTTCCCGCTTATATGACGTTTTCTATTTTTTATTATATACCTATAAATATCATTTGCACATAGTTATGTATATACCTCTGTTTTATGTTATTACGGCACATTGCAATAAATTAAATGATGTATAAAATACATATATCATGCACATAAATTAAACGAAATATTGATGATGATTGTTTCTCTACTAATGTACAATTTTATTCGGTAATATTTTTTTAAATTAAAATTTAATTCCAGTCAGATTATTAAGATTAACCAAATCGCGGACATATCGTGGAAAATCTTACAAATCATATCAATATATTAAATAAATGGATAAATAAAATACATAACAATAAATAAATCTGTATAATCTTTACTTGCCGATATTAAGCAGAAATTTGTATGATATACTTTTAGTAACACGAATCAGAACATTTCAAAATCAATATCTGCAAACTCATTATTCATCTGATCGGACACCTCGCGAATACAATTTTGATTGTGAAAATGGAATGGTACGTAGTTAAAAATCATTTGACTACGTACCAACTGTCGAAAGCTGTTGTATCTCGTTCATCTTGAGAATGACACTGGTGCCTGCGATTTGTTGATGATTCTGCTGCTGTTGCTGCTGTGGCTGCTGCTGTGCTTGCATGATGACGACCACCATAAAAAATGATACATGAACAAGAACGGCGTAAGAAGTTGGTAATCAAGGGCCACTGTTCTTGCCAAAATCCAGTATCAAAATCGAAAGTTGTATATAAATGAAATCTGAAAAGGACTTTTTACTTTCCGGAAAACGGAAACAAAAACGTGCGGCACTTACATTGGTATACACTAGCGCGATCTTGTAGCGTGCGCCATTATGGATTTTCAAGCACTTTACTTAAACCGAGAATTACTAGACAATATGCAAATCACATAAGACACAAATTATATAATGATCAATTATTTTGTTATTCAAAAGTATTTTTTCTATAAGTTTTTATCACGATAGCCGAGTTCTTCACAAACGACGACTTGTCAATTCTATAATAACTCGAACCACGAACGTAATACAGTCTGATACGAAAAACCAATCGATGAACGTATTCCGAGTCTCTAACTCGTTGCGTTCTACGCGCGGGAAATACGTCATATTAATATTACCGATAATCAACTTGTGCACACGCGGCTATTGTATTTCACGAACCCTGCAAATTCTTAATGTAAAAATCGTTTTTGATTGATGAAACTATTATAATATATGCCTTAAATGTCATATAACGTAAGAAAATTTGATGTATAGCTCAAATTAGAATTAATTAATAATTGCGTGAAATTTTTTAGCATAATAACAGTTCAAATTAAAAATTCTTGTTCGAAAATATAATCAATGAAACAAAATATTTCTTGATTGCATCGATTCTTTTTTCTATCTTTGTGTAACTATTACAATATTTAATCATATTATCGTTTTAAATTACATCCTATTTCACTAATTATAGTATAGTTTAAAATAAAAATATTTGCAACTAAAAATAATATGTTTATTTTACAGAAATATTATAAAAGATTAAGGGGAACTAAAACATTGAACAGAAATTATTGTTACCACTCCTGAACGATGATACACGAGCGCCGTACGGTAAGAGTTCGAGAATGGCTTCCCCACCACATTGAAAGAATTCGAATAACCGAAGACCTGATTCTCTCCTTCGTTCTCATTCTTCCGGTGCTGGTGCCGGCGTCATATGGTTTTGTGCTCTGTATTAGTTTTACTTCGTTTATTTTGTAGATTAATAATGGCAGGAAATAAGGAACGTACCTTCCTTATGGTTAAACCCGATGGTGTTCAACGTGGACTCATTGGTAAAATAATTCAACGTTTTGAAGACAGAGGTTTTAAACTTGTAGCAATGAAAATGATACAGGTAAGTTCCTCTACATATGCTTACGTATCCGATTCACTCCAGAAAAAATATGCATTTTTTAGTTTCTAACAACCACGTGATTAAAAATTTTTATTTCGTAAGTACTTATCGTATTTTATCGATTGTACAATAAATGATAATTGTCGTGACCTTCATTACTAATCTCTGTGACATTGTATTATCTTGTGTCAAGATAATTAGCAGAAATACTAGTTTACGAGTCTTGTATTATATTCGTTTTATATACCATTGATGTGCAATAGATTTCGTTATTTGCATTAAAATTATGTTATTATTAAAGTTTCTTTTTTTTTTTAGCCAAATGAGGATTTATTAAAGAAACATTATGCAGATTTGGCATCCAAACCATTTTTCCCAGGTTTAATTAAATACATGAGCTCAGGACCAGTTGTGCCAATGGTACATAGTTGTTTTTTGTATAATACAATTAAAAGATATTATTTGTATGTTAATTAAATTTAACAATTGTTTTTCAGGTATGGGAAGGTTTAAACATAGTAAAAACTGGCCGTGTTATGTTAGGACAAACAAATCCAGCGGATTCTGCACCTGGAACAATTCGTGGTGATTATTGTATCCATGTTGGACGCAATATTATTCATGGCTCCGACTCTGTTGAATCTGCCAATAGAGAGATCAAACTCTGGTTTGGAGAAGAAAAGGAAGTTATTGATTGGGCATCTTGGTCAGAAAGCTTGGTATATGAATAAAACATGTGAAATCTTCAATAAAAATATTTATTGCAATACCTATTCTTTCATGTGCTTCAATCTGACTATAACATCAAAGATTTTTTATACATAAGTTTGATTGAGAAGCAATAAATCAGATTTATACATAAATGTATGTAATTAAATAATAAAAAGATTTCAGTACATTAATACAAAATTTATTATTGATAGTAGTAGTATAGTCATTTTTAATTTACAATTCTAGATCTTACATTTAAAAAAATTTTCATAAAAATTTATAATATAAATTTTAGAATATTTGTTTATATACAGGGTGGTTGGTAATTGGTGGTACAAGCGGAAAGGGGGTGATTCTACGAGAAAAAAGAAGTCGAAAATATAGAATAAAAATTTTTCGTTTGAGACTTTGTTTTCGAGAAAATCGACTTTGAATTTTCGCTCGGTACGCGTGCGGTACGTTATAACGTATCTCACTGTAGATCGTTGTCTCGATGGAAAAATTAAAAAAAAAAATTTTTATTCTATATTTTCGACTTCTTTTTTTGCGTAGAATCACCCCCTTTCCGCTTGTACCACCAGTTACCAACCACCCTGTATATAATATATATAGTATATGTATAATATTAAAATGAACATCTGTACTTGTTTAGCAATCATATTTAAAATAGTGTTTAAATTTACAATTGAGTGCTAAAAAGTATAAAACGAGATATTAATACAATTACAAAATTGATTTAAAAGTTACCTTTCTATAAATTATATCGACAACTTTAAATTTCTAATCATTAAAATTAAGTTAATTAACCAATTAACTTAAGTTGGAATAAGCATCTACAACCTTATGTAAAAAATCTATGTTTTTTGGTCATATTTTGAAGATTGTGAACACTTTAAAAAAAAGTAATTTTATAAAATAAATGCGCAAAATATTGTTTATGCCTTATAAAAAGTCAGAATAATATATATTATATTATATTATATATATATTATATTATATATTATATATTATATAATATATATTATATTATATATATATAAGGAAATGGTTTTGACAATGTTACCATAGAATTAATTATCACTTTGTCCTAAATATGATCTACAACTAGGACAATAATGTTTTGTTACCAAACAACTATCCATGCAGTAAGGGCAAGGAACACAACACCAGCATCTAGAAATAATTATAAATATAATTACATCTTGTTCTTTTCAAAAATCAATGATAAATCATAATTTATAATTACCCTAAAATACATAGTCCTAATGCGAAGAGATGAGTTTTCATGTTTGCTTCCCTTTCAATTACTGTGAGCACATTTGCATGACAAGAAGGACATATTACATGCTGTTGTTCAGGACCAAAATTTAAATTCCTTATGATAACGGGACCTGTAAAATTATATTCTTGAAAAACAATATTCAATAATAATCACTAATATTTATGTAACAATCAAGATTTATTTTATAATAACAAAACGTATATAGGTGGAAAATATTAATAAATATTAGAACAACTTTTTATATATCTTAATATTTAATAAATGCTTCAAGAAGTAAACAGCATGGTCTGTAGTACTTTGTATGTATGAGAAATCTATTATATATGGTTGGGGTTTAACTGTAATGCATACCAAGCTTTTACTTTAGATTGACTTTGTTTATGAAAATATTCTCTCTAGATTCCATTTTCAGAACAGATGTGCATCACAATTTGCAATGTACACAACATGGAAAAATATTGTTCTGGAATTATTACAAAATGCAGCTACCTATTTGGGAAGCAGCTTGCTTAACAGTCTTCAAGTTGTAAAGCAACTAGCAAATTGTCCTAATAAATTTTGTTACATTTTATTACTGGTAAACCGCAATTTCCATATCAGGGTGGTAGTTGCAGCGGTATTAACGTATACATAAATAGTCAAACACTTCTAAATATTAGTCATTAAATCACTTTATGTATATTGTTATTTTCTTGGCTTCCAGGCTATCTACTGATGCTATCTAATAATGAAAGTTATTGCACGATCTTATCATTTCAGTACTTATATATTTTTACGTACTTGCTTGTGGTTGCTCATATGACGGTGGTGGGATAAAACCAGGTGGTGGTGGTGGTGGTGGTGGCGACATTGTTGCATTTTTTTCCATGACAATATTTTAATTCTTATCTGAAAAACATTGCATCGATCATAAAAATCCATTTTCTTTTAGTTGTTATTCAGGAAATTGATGTGAATTGACTAGAATTGATTCTTTAATAGAATATATTAGAGTTAACTTTATTAATTATAAAAAACACTATCAGTTATCCTCGTAACCAATCAGATTGAGAATTTTTATAAGAAATCAGATATGTCGAATGAGAACATTTGATATTTTAACATTATGTTTCGTATATATCTGACCGTATTGATGTTGGAGGAACTAATATAAAATAATATAATAATTTAAAATTAGATATATAATATAAAATTAAATATATACTTAATACTATATAATGTGCCTGGTAAACAGAAAAATATTTACTATATAGTGGCCTTTTATTTTCTCGTTGGAATTACTTAAAATTTCTAAGAATTGTTTAATGACACAACAATTTATATTGTAATAGTTCTACAGCAAATACAGAAGGTTTCGTAACCATAATCTAATGTTGCGCAAGTTATTACCGAATGAGTTGCGGTGTCTAGAATGCGAGTATTCAAGTTATTTTATTTCATTGTATACGTGTCATATTAACAAAAAAAGAAAAAAAAAGATTGGATTATCAAACTTGAAGAAATTTCTAAATACCGAAATCGATTAAATCAACTGGGAAAACATATTAAACGCGATTTCTAGCAATTTATTTGCTATACAAATTACATGCCATAAGGCACTGATAAAATAATTAATTATGAAAACGAGTTTCCATATAAACATCCTCACTATATGTTACAAAAAAATGTAATAAAATTGAACCAATGTATTTGTTGATTATATTATCAAAAAATTAAACTACCGACCGATCGATATTATATATTTAGTGTAATAAATGTTTTATTTCTCGCTAAACTAAGAGTGTGTAGATATGCTAATTCATTTCCAATTACGTACACACGTACTTACCTCTTGCAACTATTGATATACGCCCAATTTATCACTAATCGATGATCGATATATAACGTTGACACCCAACTACTGAGGTTCAAGTTGGCATTCATAGCCGTTAAATTCACATATATATTACCTATCAGAACAGTAAAGGTGGGAGATTCTACGAAAAACGTCAAAAGATACGTAAGTTATCTATAGTTTTATCAGAATGATAAGTGAGATACTTTAATTAACGTGGTAAAAAAAGACGTACTGCTTTCCGGTTTACTAATTTGTATTTTTATTTCGTAAAAAACGGAAAAGATTGTAGAAAAAGTCGGGTAGTGAAAAAATACACAAGAAAATATATGTTTGCAGTTAATTCATTAAACAGATAATCCTTAAAATTTTTCTATTTTGGTTTCATATTTATTTAACATATAATCGTTCTTGGTTAACAAACGACTTTATCTATCGTTGGTAAAAATTTAAACATGGTCAAATCAATTAAAATCATTGATTTGTTAGTTGATGCAAAAATTTTAAGAATTTGTGTGATAAACAGTAAAACTTTAAACTGGCTATAAATTCTATAAACTCTTCCTGAGAAGCACTGATTCATCTATTGTTTTTCCATTGAATTAACATTTTTTAATTCGTCATAAACTTCAACGATTTTTGCATTAACGTAACAATGAATCAGATATCTAATTTTACTTATTCCGTGAATTCATAAAAAAATTATAAATTGAAATTCATAAATAGCATATAGAAAATATATATAGAATATGTGATAACTTCATACAAGAAAAATTTAGGAAGAAATTCAGTAATAGTTGCTATTGAATTATTCGTTTAATAATTAAAATGAAATTTCTAAGAGAAATTTGTTGTTACCCTGAATACGAAGTTGTTACGTGTTTGATAATCGATTATTAATGATATATTATCGGATGTATTTACGTATTATCGATTCCAATCTAATTCATTCAAATGTTCCTATCATGTATACGTTACACAATAGCCCGTAAAAGAAACTCGTTATCCAAGCGAACATTGCCTTTTTGGTTTTGATGTATTATTGCATACAAAAACATATTTAATTTCACAAGTGATGTTTTGCTACAAACATCTTGAAAATTTCATTGGATACTAAAGTGAGTCGCAGATTTGAACATCTGTAATTCTACGAACTAAGAAATAACATTGCGATCGATCGATTTGGATATACGTATGTCATGCATACATATATTTATATACATTTATGTCTACGATATATACGTTCTTTGACTAGCAGAACAACAATCGCCCTAACAATAACAATGTAAGGATGATACAATGCGTCATAAATAATAACTTTATTTTACTCACAATCCAATAGAAATTTCAGACCCAACTCCAATAATCGTAAACAGAGTTATTTTGTCTAATATCGTACGCTTTAGTTGAATTTGATCGATCGTTCGCAATAATAATCGTTGAAATTTCAATTCCTACATAGTGTGACGAGTATTAACAGCCGAAATTTCAGCCAAGGTATATTAGATATGAGAAAGTGAACTACTAGTAAAATGACCGTAACTATCATTTGCGAGGATAAGTTTCTATATCGATATAATTCGAAATTTGTGGTCTTTAATTCGATGTTATTACTAGGAAGAAATCCAGGATTGTATTACTATCAATATGCTGGCAGTATCGAATTGTTTTTTTAATAGTAAACAAATTCGTTTGGAATGTTTTACCGATCAAGCGAACAATCTCGATAGATCAATGACGGAGCTGAAAAAGGGAGGGAGCACTAAATTTCACGGTGATTTCGCACTACGTGTTCGAAGCACGACAACGTGCTTCTCAGTCTTGGCCTTTTCACGAGGAACGGTCAGGCGTGGGCTTGGTCTTTGGTTTTCGTCCAAGTAATTTGCGAAACGAGGAGGTCCACCTCGATCGACTAATTCCTGTCGTGCTCTGTTCGTCCGGTTCGCTGCAACTAAGCGACTCGCTAATTTTCCTGCTTTTGCCACTGCTACTGCTGGTGCTACTACCTCCATTTTCATAACATCGTGATCTTCGATCTCCGATTTCCGAAGAAAACCTGAACAACGAGAAAATTCAATGTGAATAATGTTTCGCTATTTCTTACGTAACTAGAAGGTACACGAACTTGGTGAAATATCAAGACGAACCCTGAATCGGATGAAAAGGCTCTAGCCGTAGCTGGAGCGCTCGAGTTAGCCGATGAAAGCGATATTTCAGCAACAAGAGTACTCGGATATGCTTCATCGTCGGACGCGCTGTTACTACTTGTGGTACTGCTGCTGCTAGCATTGCTCCCACCGGGGCTACTGTCGACGCTGGAATCGTCGATGAAGCTTATTTCTCGATCGGCCAACGGTGAACTGGTCCTCTGTCCACGCGACATCGATGTCGTGGACGTTGTGCTAGGTCGGAACCAGGTACGTAAATCCTGCAGCGGCGCTTGAAGGCACTTGAAAAGATTTCCACTGAAACGTTTGGAAATTAGATAAGTGTAAAGATAAAAGCCCTTTCTTCGTTATCGACTATCGGGGCTGGTCTGTTTACAGATACTCGTGTTTCTTCGATTCACTTACTCGTCGCGATAATCATCGATCTCGGCAAAAGTGCGCCTCGCGTATAAACAAACGGAACACCGTCGTCGACGGCGGCAAGACGTAGCGTGTAGAGTCGCTGCACGAAGATGTCTCGCGGCGTGTCTCAATGTAATCGTTTCTCGAGTCAGCGCTGCGACACCTTCCTCTCGTCTACGCCTTTCCTCTCCCAGTTCTCCCTGTTCTATACGCAGCTTCTCTTTTAAAACTTCATTCTAGAGACACAGAATATACACAACATGACATTATAGCATAGATCGTCTTCATCGAAACAGATGCTGTTGCTCGAATTATCATTACCTCTCTTTCAAGAGCATCACGTTCAGCACGAATAACAGTAGCCTGTTTGACAACGTCCTGGCGAGCTCGTTCAAGAGTTTGCCTAGTAATCTCGTTTTGCGCCAGTTGCATCTGCAGACGGCGCAAAGCTACTTCCCGTTGCCTCTCCAGCCGATCCTTAGCAGCTATGCAACTGTCGCGTTCGGTTTTAGCTCTCTCCACCTCTTCCTCCAGACGAAGGCTTCGTTCCAGTTGCAGGAACAGCTCGTCCTCCTTGCCTCGCAGTTCTGCTTCGCAACCCTCCAGTCGCTTCTCCAACGACCGTCGAGTCTCCTCTAACTTATCCCTTTCAGCCTGAAACAACCGGACAATTTTGTATTACACGAGTTTCTATCGTAATCCGATCTTTCCAATTCGTTTCAATAGTAACTCGAATTCAACTTTTGATTAAGGTCGGCTCGTTCAAGAAATTCGTTGATATTTACTCGATAAGTCATCTCGGTAACTCTTATCTTTCGAGTTATATCTTTTTATCGACTGAGTCACGATTGTTTTCGAGTCTGTACAATTAACGTAGATAGATTAGAGAACAATACCAACGAGGTACATTCGTGTAGCAGTGGTTGTCAACCGATAAGGCGAACGAGTCCGCAGGCAAGCGTTAACGGAGATAATAATTCTAATTAAAAAAGAGAATGCAACCGAATGCTTCCAGCACTGCATCTGATTTCACGGTCGTCGCTTTTGGATGCCTCTGTTGCGCCTGCAAACGGCTACATGCAAACATCATCGGTATTTATTACGGAACCAATTTTGCAGCTCCAGATTCGAATCTACTGTGCTCGAGGTAGGACGTACGGATATTGAAAGCGTACATTAGTTCGATAAGACGTGTTTACCGCTAAAATACGACCGAAATGACGTTCGTGTATCAAGGGTACCATCGACAGAAACGCTATTTATAGATCGAACACGGTACTTAGACTATGCGTTACGTTGCGTTGCTACGCGTGGCAAATCTATTCTCGCCGTTTGGCCGATTGCGTAAGTGCGACTTAATCGTAAATCATCGATTCTCCGTGTTGCTTCGCATACGAACGACCAGTTCGTCATTGAACGTTTCGACGTTGCTGGTCGAGCCGAGTGGAAGATCGGTAACTGAGCCGGTGGTATGACGTGATCCGGCCGATAACGCCGCCTCGGCCGCACCTCCCTCCTACGGCTGAGTCGCATCTAGCATCGCGCTAGATGCCACATTGTAGGTCAGCTTAGGCGGCCAAACTAGACTGTCGATGGTACGAGGTTGATGAACGGTAGTACGAGCCAGCTCAGCTCGGGGCGGGCCGTTTCGCGGCTTCTACTGCAACGAAACTAAACGAGGAAAGGTACGAAAAGAGAGGCTACGGAAAAAACAGGCTGGAAAGAAAGCGAAGAAAGTCCAGAGGAAGGAAGACGAGGGGCGCTGCAGGAACGAGTTGAAAGACAAGATACGAAACCGCAGAGGGAAAAGCGGAGTAACGAAATGTAACCGTTTCTTCTCAACGATGAACTTTTTGCCATTCGCTCGTCGTTGCTCGGCTTTGTCTCTGCGGTTTTGCCACTGTACGGTTTACCACGGTCAATTTTCTCTGGCGGCCAGTGCATAAGCAGACGTACAAGTTGACGCGCATCCACTAGAAGGCCAAGGGGAAACCAGTGCCCACGGGTGAAATCGACCTAAGTACTACTTACACGGCCTTCCTCCGGCTATCCTGCTCTGCGCGTCTATAGACACGACACGACGCCTCCGCTCTTTCCTAGACCTCTTTTCTCCAAAGGCTTCGCGGATTCGTCTCTTCCTTTTACTTTCTTTCCTATCTTTGTTTCCTGCCCGATATTATAGACTGGTTGGATTCTACAACCGGTCACGGAAAAATCACGCTACGCTGGTTCAGTTTATCGTTTCTTCGTAACTTCTTCTAGAAACGATTTAATCGCAGGTACATATTTAGTCGGACGAAGCCTACATTCCGCTTATTTTTCCTTCGATCGAGGTCAAATCTCGACAGTCGAATTAAACCTTGGCGTGCCAGTTAAAGTTGTAGGCGACGGTTAATTGCATGTCGATATTTCGAGGAACGCGAATCCGGAGCACGTGATTAGATAAAACACTGTACGCACGAAGATGGAACGTCCCCCTTCCGTTCCCCCATTGTTCCCGCGAGAAGGTTTCGTCACAGAGCTGCCGTCAAATTTCTTCGAAAAGTTCAAAGAGCGTGCGAGAACCATAAA